TTTTTTTACATTTTATTAAAAATATTAATTATTTTAAAATTTTAAATAAAATGTAAAAAAATTAATTATTGAGATATAGCTATAGACCTAACGTATAAATATTATTAAAAAAAAAAATCAACTAAAAATATTAACTGGATCAAAAGTTATTTAAGTTGTCATTGAGTGGTGGGCCACCCTGTATATATATATATTTATATTCGTTTCAGGTAGTTTTAGAAAAACGCTTTGTAACAATTGTAATTTAAAATTAACAACACCCAAGTTTGTTAACGTATATTTTCATAATCTCATCTCGTACGACGGACATTTTTTAGTCAAAGCCCTTGGAAGAGATACTAGTAGAATAAGTGTAATACCTGTTACAGAAGAAAAATATATTTCTTTTTCAAAGTTTGTTTCAAACAAATTTTCGCTAAGGTTCAACGATACATTTCGTTTCATGGGTACTAGTTTAGCGGCTCTTGCTGAAAATTTGCACGCCACTGACATAAAAGTATTCGGAGAAACAGCAAAAACGTTTTCAGCGAACGGTGACATTGATTTAGTGACCCGTAAAGGCGTGTACCCGTATTCATACACCTCCAGCTGGGATGTACTTAAAGAAAAACAATTGCCGTCAAAAGCCTATTTTTATAATGAACTGTCAGAAACGCATATTGATGATGCCGAATACAAACACGCACAAAACGTTTGGCAACATTTTAATTGTAAAACGCTCGGTGAGTACTCTGATCTGTATCTGAAAACTGACGTAACAATACTTGCGGACGTTTTTACGAATTTTCGCAAGTTATGTCTACTAAAATATAAATTGGAACCGGCATATTATTTTACGAGCCTCGGTCTGTTTTTTGATGCTATGCTGCTGCATACGGGCGTTTCATTAGACCTCATGAGCGATTATGAACCGCAACTCTTTATTGAGAGAGGAATACGGGGAGGAATGACAACTTCGGTGTTGAAACATGCCATAGCCAACAATGAAAAGACGCCTCATTATGATATCAAACAACAAAAATCTGAAATTATATATTTGGATATCAATAATTTGTATGGTTGGAGTATGTCTCAACATATGCCATGTGGTGGCTTTAAATGATTAGACGTGGACGACGAAACAAAAATTTTAAAGACAGTGTTGTAATAGGCCCTTCACACAACCTAACAAAATGTTTTTCTGTTATTCTTTCATCTTCTACCCACACACCAATAAATTACAAAACACAATCAACACTTTCTATCACTGACTGCAGATACACACACAACTCACACAATCACGCCATGCACACACATCCGTTCCTTCCCAACATGTACAACCCCGTAGTTTTACAAAATCCTTCTACAATGTCAGCAAAATAGCAACAAAGAATCTAAATAAATGTAAGGCCGATGGTCATGTACGTGTCTGGAAGGGGACTTTGGAAGGACACCAAAGGACTCCATGGGATCGTCTGACACGGCCTGTTTCGATCGTACTCCGGAACGAACACATCCAGTTTTATAAGTAAACTCCGCATTTTTCTCTGTATCGTTTATATAATATTGACAATATTTGAATTAGTGTGTACAAATATTTTATTTAAGTTTCATGTACTATTTCTTTTACCATATGAATCACTTTTGTGTATTTTGTGTAATAAGTGACAATAATTATATCATTTGATAATTGACATCAACTTGTTTTGTGTTGAAATTATTATTACATAAATCCTGTCTTCGGCATTAAGGATAACATAAATATTCAGGTAACACTATTTGAACTCAACCTGCATGCTTTATTTTACAACGGTAGACCCTCGATCCATACGCCCGAGTGAAGAGTCAGATCCCGCGTATTTCCCCATTCATTTCAATCCTAAATGCCCCCCTTTCCCTTTTTTATTTTTGAGTTACGACAACAGTGGAAGAGTTACCTGCGGATTCTCCTGTAGGAATGGCCCTTGAAGTGACGGTGTCGTACCCGAAAGAGTTACATAATGCCCACAACGAAATGCCGTTTCTACCTGAACGAAAATGTCCGCCTTATTCACGGGTCAAAAAACTGTTGTTTACTTTCGATCGGAAAGAAAACTATGTCGTACATTATCTAAATTTAAAACAGGCTATGGCGAACGGATTAAAAGTAGAAAAGGTAATTCATAAAAATATACTTTAAAAATATAATAATAATATCATATTAATAAATTACAGGTGTATAAGGTGTTACAATTTAAGCAGTCTGCATGGCTATCAAAATATATACAACTTAACACGGAGATGAGACAGAAAGCCAAAAATTATTTCGAAAAAGACTTTTTTAAATTAATGAACAACGCTGTTTTTGGTAAGTTTTAAAATTAAATAAAAATATATAAACATAATTTTAATACGATTTCGTTTGTTAACAGGTAAAATGATGGAACGTGTACAATTTAGAACGCAAATGGAATTGGTCAATAATCCTAAACGAGCGGCTAAATTAATTAGAAAGCATAATTTCAAACATTGTACAACGTACAGTGAAAATTTATCGGCGTTTGTATTGGAAAATAAAATTATCGATTTTTGTAAACCAGTATACGTAGGTTTCGCAATTTTAGAAATTAGTAAAACTCTCGTATACGATTTCCATTACAACGTAATGAAGAAATATTTCAAAGACTATTATACGGTGACACAGGTAGACTAATTAATGTTTTTATCGAAAAAATTTAATTATTTTATGTTATGATTTTATTGTTTAGATTCATTAGTGTACTTTATCGTGGGTGATGACTTTTACGCGTTGGCAAAGAAAAATCCTGATCTAATGGCTAGACTTGACACTTCAGGTTTGCCGAGCAGTCACCCGAGTTATTCAAACGCTAACAAGAAGGTGCCTGGTTTGTGGAGTGACGAAGCGCCGGAGAAATCTATATTAGAGTTTATTAGTCTCAGACCGAAAATTTATGGTTTTGATTTGGAGGGTAAAGTAAAAATTAAGGCGAAAGGGATACGTGGTCACGTTGTGAAAAATTATTTGACAGTCGAGGACCTAAAACGGTATTTGTATGCTGAAGAGGAGCCTGCAGTAAGTGAAGCTCATGCAACAGCATATGGTGCAATGGTTGTAAACAACATTCATGAGAGAGCCATGGACTTGTCCTATTATTTTTTATATTGTCCTATTATTATTTTAGTATTATTTTTTAGGAATGAAGACAACATTGAAACTCAAGATTTGTAGTTGCACCTTATAAACTAATGTAAAAATAATAAACAGATTACAAAAATGTAATGTATTAGTATAATGATTATAAAAAATTTATTGTAGAAATTATATTAAAAAAAAAAAAAAAAAAACAAATTATCTATAAATATATTTATATTATTCATTAAACGTAAATAAATAATCAAACAACATTATTACATAGTAGTTATCGTCGTTATTGTCGACAGGTTTGATAAAACGCCGTATTATACTTTGCACATCATTAAAATTTAACCAAATATGTAATCGTTTAAGACAGTATACACACCTTTTAAAGTCACATACTTCAAGCAGAGTGCTTTCATGTCTGAATACTTCTTTATGTGTTGTGACGGTTTCAATAGGACGGTCCATTACCTCTATCATTTCCACACATTGACTATTAGTTGTGTTACACACAAAAATGTGAGTTGACACAGCTCTTCTGTCCATTACCATTCGAATGTTGAACTTTTTGTAGTTGGCCCATACAAAATTTCTACTCCACCTATTCATTTCGAGTCTAACCTCCTCATAAGTGTAGCAAAAAAAATTTGCACGGATCAAGTCACCCAGACGGTTCGGTTCTGCGAGCCGACCTAACAAATTTGATAATGGCCTAAACAAATGACGTCTATAATACAACGCAGGTACGCTACTCGCTAGTTCACGATTCATCGTTATATTATAGACGTCATTGTACAGCCGTCTAATAAATCTGTCAGAATCGTTGTTCTGAAGCATTTCCAACTCCCATGATTGCAGCGAAAATGGATCTCTAAATGGAATCATTGATGACCAACTACATGGTAAGAGTTCTAGATCATGATCAGAATAGATCCGTTCAGGATCTGGTGATAAATCATCATCTAAAAATAAAAACAGCATTGTTAAGAAGTTTGTTTACAAAGTTAAATGCTAACATACATACCATCAGAATCCTCAATACTGTCTTCAATTTCTTCTTCTTCTTCTTCCTCATATTCATCTTCTTCTTCTGCCTGCAAATATTCTTCTTCCAATGGGTCATAGTAATACCAATCATCATGGACTCGCGGTTGTATCTGTCCGAATTGTTCAATGAATAACTCCCGTTCATCTGCTTCATCAAAATTTTATGCTTCAGCAGCAACACATTTACAAACAAAAATTGACTTGATTTGCATAATGTTTGAAGTGTTTCAACGTATAGGCACAATTAATACAATTGAAAATATTAAATTTTTAGAGCGGAGTATAGGGTATTTATATGAAAAACTAACGTTAATGACTTGTCATTACTATACCTGTGTGGTATTAACAGGTATTATACCCTAGTCTTATACCCCTATACGCATAGTGGTACTAATAGTCTTTACTCTATCCCTTTTTTTTTTCAGCACAATAATAATGCTCAAATTAATTATATATGAATTTTTGGGTAAATAAACAACAAACATGTTATATGTTACTTATAAGTTTTATTTTAAAAATATTATACAATTTGATTACATTATTTAATTATAGTGAAATATAACAATATTTTAAGTACTAAGAATTATTAATATACCAATTTCTTAATATAAACATTTTATAAAAACTACAATAAGTTGGATTCAAATTCATATGAAATAAACATGATGGATAAGAAGTATTTGTTGACAGTTGTTGAAAGGGCTACTGGGCTCACAAGGCCTTAACTGGTAAAAGAACAGAAACAATTTTTCATTTGAGATGAACAACAATAATTAATTTTGATACAACAATGAATGATTTATTTTTCCTATAATGAAAGATGAATGTTAATAAAAANGCTCATGCAACAGCATATGGTGCAATGGTTGTAAACAACATTCATGAGAGAGCCATGGACTTGTCCTATTATTTTTTATATTGTCCTATTATTATTTTAGTATTATTTTTTAGGAATGAAGACAACATTGAAACTCAAGATTTGTAGTTGCACCTTATAAACTAATGTAAAAATAATAAACAGATTACAAAAATGTAATGTATTAGTATAATGATTATAAAAAATTTATTGTAGAAATTATATTAAATAAAAAAAAAAAAAANAATATAGATATAGATATAATATATTATTATAACTTGCCAATAGAAAAGAACAAGTTATTTACATCAATAAATACTTATACATAAGTGGCTGAGGAACACATTTATGGTTTGACTTCTTTTATTTAATTTAGCAATTTTTACTTGAGATGATGTTGCTGTGAGGCACACACATTCCGACATAAATGAGCAACCACAATTGGCCGAGAACAAAATCCACACAACGGGATTATTCAGAAGAACATATTTCTTCTAGACACATGTATCTGAGTAGCCCACAATTGGCTTAGAACAACAAATCCACATAAAAGGATTTATTCAGAAGAACCTATTTCTTCTAGACACATGTAGATTCATAACCATAAAAAAAAGGTATCAGTCTTTTATCACAAAAGGACAACATGAAAAATGTGATAGCCTTCCACAGTGTCGCCCTATTCTGCGGCGCGAACAGTTGTGTTATACGAGAGCAGCCAATATCTTCCATGTTAATGATATTTACGTGTGGCATATACTGTTGTAAATGTCTCTTTTTTGTAACCCTTTAATAAATATGTCTGTAAATTTTAACGAGTTTAAAATTCTCGGTAGTTCTTCAATTTCTACGTCTCCGTACTGAGGTTGCATTGAATGTCTGTGCTTTTTCAACCACGCGTTAACATTTCGACTTTTTCATCTGTTGGAGTTGCATGTTTAAATATCCAGTGTTGTGTAGCATAAGTGTCAGTATCCACTACAGATAGTTCTTTTATAAGATACTCGTTAATACCCGTATTCATACACCTCCAGCTGGGATGTACNATCGATCCCAATATACACTCAAAATCTGCTATTGCTGTAGTCATTATTTAGTTTGTTTATCTAGTATGTTGAGGATACGGATCTTGTTCTAGGGCGTTTTGCTTTTTAAATAAACGTACACTAGAGTCAGTATAGGCTTCGTATTTTACAAAACCTTTAGTTTTATTAATCTGTTCTTCTAGCTGACTATATCGTAACTTAGAAGTTGAATCTATTGTGTTAAAATTAGTATTTAAATTTTCAATTTTAACTTCTACTCCGTGTAGTTGTTCATTTATTAGTTTCGATGTGAAGCTGAGAAGGTATTGGTTTTACTATGAAGTGTTTTTTTTTTTTATTATTTTTTTTTTTTTTTCTGTTACCACTTTTTCTCAGCTCTCACCGAACGGATTTCTTTCAACGATACGTCAAAATTCAGATTTCACATGCTTTTTCAAACTTTATAGTCTTCTCGCCAAGTAATTTGCGTTATATTGATTCGTCCTTCAAACCAGAAATAAGACGATTCCCCAACGCATCGTCTAAAAAGGTGTCAAATTCGCAAAAGTTTGCTAAATTTTTTAAATTATCGATGAATTCTTGGATAGATTCACCTGCCCGTTGAACACGTTGATTAAATTTAAATCGTTCACTCACTACTAATCGACGCGGAGAGAAAATTCCTTCAAGTATAGTGATTAATTCATCATAGACTTTATCACCCGTTTCGCCCGGTAAACATGCTACTTTCACATACATAATAATACAAATGTACGCGTCCACGCGCATGGTTTTAATATGCGCATTGACTCATTTCTGCTCATACGTTTATTCTGAACCTTAATTATATGGTGTAATATGTATTTTTATTAGGACACTATTTTGTATTTGCACATAGCACTTTATTTTATCGTGAAATTTTATATGTTACATAAAATTTGAAGACGGTTATAATTATATAAGTTTCTACTTTATCAGTTTATGTTTATCAAAACAGTACATTATAAATAATCTTTTTTTTCTCATATATGATATATGATTCTATTAGTTTATCGTTTAAATTGGAATACATCTATGACAACTATGCTGTCCAACGTTAAATCGCAGTTACCAATATTTTTATCAAAATTAAATTTTTACATATACTCACATATAATAACCTGCTAAATTTTTTTGTAATAATTCTATAATATAAACACAATTATTATAATTAGAATATTAATAATTTTTGTGTATACCAGGGGTGTATTTAAGGGAGATATGGGCCCCCCTTGAACCAGCGCTATCAATATTTTTTTAGGCAACTTCTAATAAATAAGGACCTAATGTCCTTTTTTTTCATCATTACTTTGATTTTTAGCAAAAAAAATTCTATAACATGTTTAACAAAGTAAAAAATACTAAATACCCTCCTAAAATAATTTTTGAATAAGCCTAAAGGGAATACCTCATTAACAAACGTTAACCTTATACCCAATACATTTTACTATATTCTCTTTTTGAATTTTCATGATTTTAATAATAACATTTTTAATATATTTTTGTTACACTGATTCTGATGTAATATTTTTTCTGCAAAACACTTATCGTGGCCGGCGTAGCCGAGCACTCTTATCGTAATCAGTGGCCTTCTTATGATGACGGCCCGAAGAGTCTTACGCGCCGGAGGCGCGTAAGGATCGTAGGGCTTTGGGTATGGGGCGGAGCCCCAGCTAGGCAGAGCCTAGTGGTAACATAAATCGTATAATTTCAAAGGCGTACACCAACGCACATACAAACATATCAACAATAGTCACATCAATTACATGATAATATAAGTTACTTATTACAAATTTTGTTGTTGTCATATTGAACAAATATTGTTTAGCAGTACATTTAATAGTCAAAGTCAGAATCTTACAATTATTATTGAAATCAATCACTAGAATTCTAATACTCTTTTGTAGTGGCTGGTTAAACTTTATCCAGTTGAATTTCATAATTGTTTTACTCATTTAATTTGATATGTTTAAAGGACGCAGTACTTCCGGAAAATTTTCAAAATTTAAGTTGAAAAAGTTAATTTTTTTAAAAAAAGTAGGTATTTTAAATACCCCCAGTGATCAGGTTAAGTATTAAATTTTCAACAAAAAATCAAATGAAAGAAAAATA